ACACACACACACACACACACACAATTATAAGCACAGGGACCCATACCTTCCACCTCCAGGAGCCAGTCTTTCCAGAATACAATGGTCCTGGCTTCCAACCGCCTCCTATTTGATGATGGGAGGGATCGGCATCTGGCCTGGAACACCCCCACAATGTCGCTGGCCTTTAGGGTTGTTGTGTCCTGGAGGAAGACTTTTTCAAAGTCTTGTGGATGTGAGGTGACTTCATCCAGGACACCAAGTGAAGTTAGTCCTTCTTTGAATCTGATGCAAAAAAATAATAATTTAATTCTGTTCTTTACAATGTTACCCAAGATTGTAGAAATTGTAAAACACCATTACCTCATGTTCTATTATTGCTGGGTCTCTGTAAATATTACTAAGAGTATGGTCTAGACCTTGTCTATATGAAAACTGCAATGAGATAAACTTATGAATTGGCACTACTGGTGTGTATATAAAAATTTAATTGTATCGTTTTCTGCCTGCAAGTCTGTACACGTGTGTGCGTAAAAAACAAAAATCAATAAAAAAATTGTTGACCAACCTCTGGAGAGACACCATCAGGGTGACACACAATAGCAATGCCCTTTCATACATTAGCAGACCCCAACTACCATTTCCTGCTGTCATCAGATTTGTGGTATTAATTTTTTTTGCCTCTGCCCTGCCTCTTCACACCTTTAAAGATTCTCCAATACTCCCTCACCATGCACCTAGGGCAAGGGGTTTTCAAAGTCTTAGACTGCGGGCTTCCCCTCAGACAAAGTTTCGGAAACAGCGCTCCCCCCACCAAGTCTTTAGTTTAGTTTACTTTGTAAGCTTTGCTTAATTCCTGGATGCCTATCGGATCTTGATTAAATTAATTGATCCCATAGACACTTAATATTTGAGCCAAAATAGCATGACTTCTGACTACAGTGACTTAGTTTCTGACTCTGATGGGGGAACCAAAAACTACTGTATCTCCAAACTCACACATGTAGGCTATTCTATGTTCACTTGGTGATATGGTGGTTTCAGTTCCAGTCACCGAGCCTCCCCTGAAACCATTTACTTTAAATGGTGTACTTAATATTGTGATTAGTTAATTTAAAATAACTTGACTTCACGTGTCAATAGCAACTCAAGGAGAAATCCCACTACTGTAATTTGAACACCAAGGTTCTAGTAAAGTTGCTTTGCTGCAGTTGATGTCAATTAACATTTTCTGTTTGTAATATACAACTTACTGTTGGAGGGCTGCATAGATTCGGCCTTCACAGTGGAACTGGAGGACAGCTTCCATCAATTCCCCCCTGTGGTCCAACGAGCGGAGGTGCCGTAGGGCTCCCATCATTGCCAACTCTTCGGCCGCTTCATTGACAGCCTGCCTTGCATCCTGTAGCGCTACTGCACTGCTTATCTGAAATTATAAAAAGAAATAGAGAGTAGCCACTACCAAATACTTGAACATTTATTGGCCAGAGACAGGTGTGTAAAGTGTGTAATGACTTCCAAACTTGCCTTCTCCAGTTTTGCCCTAAGGCTGTGGTCTACCACCTCTTCAATGGTTGCTGGACTAGGTGGAAGACCACAGACTTGATTAAAAAGCCTCTTGGAAAAAAAGTGTGGCGACACCCCTCCATGGATGAGACAAACTGCCAACATTTGGCCCACAAGTCTATAAGTGTTGTTGTGAAGAGCTATAAAAGAAAGACAATTAAAATTGATCAAAGTAATGTTAAATAAAGCTGTGGAGTGTGGACATACATTAAATGAGTATGTTTCCTGACATTGTTGGAAAGAAAAAAAACAAACAAAAAAACATACCAACACTGTCAAGGGCCAGGGTACGGGCTTCAAGAGGCCCTTCAAATATTTGATGCTCCTGGAGTTGTTGCATTAGCAACCTACAAAATTCCCTTGTTGGCCCACCATCGTCGATGGCACCTTCTCCTTGACCATCCTCATCTATGAAAACGATGTCCAGCTTGGACTGTGGATTGAAGGCTGGTCGCCGGAAGGCTCTCTCGGCACATTCAAATTCTTCATTGCGAAGAACATTTATCTGATTGGCTGTGGGAGCCAGATGGTGAACCCTTGATTGTAGGGATCGAAGTGCCACAGCGATGTCAAAAGCTCTGTATTGATAGAGAAAAAATGCTGAAATTACAATCATTTAAACCAGTGGTTCTCCAGGTTTTGTCACACCTTCAACTTGCACTATAAGGGTGTTACAGTATCTTCAGAAAATGTGTACTTACTCTTCAGTTCCCTCCTGGTATGGGCTCGATGGTGCGGAGGATATATAGAAATGATTGTGAGCTGGAGATGGAGCAGGTGAAGAGGTGTGGATTGGTGGAGATGGAGCAGGAGAAGAGGTGTGGATTGGTGGAGATGGAGCAGGAGAAGAGGTGTGGATTGGTGGAGATGGAGCAGGAGAAGAGGTGTGGATTGGTGGAGATGGAGCAGGAGAAGAGGTGTGGATTGGTGGAGATGGAGCAGGAGAAGAGGTGTGGATTGGTGGAGATGGAGCAGGTGAAGAGGTGTGGATTGGTGGAGATGGAGCAGGAGAAGAGGTGTGGATTGGTGGAGATGGAGCAGGAGAAGAGGTGTGGATTGGTGGAGATGGAGCAGGAGAAGAGGTGTGGATTGGTGGAGATGGAGCAGGAGAAGTTGTCCCAACTGCAATTGGTGGTGCAGCTGGTGTTTGTTCCACTGGTATGGAGGGGTTTGACATAACATCCTAAAATGAAATGATGAACAACATTAATATGCATGTGAAGGCTCATACAGTTTCAGCCACAACTTTATATCTTTATAAGTAAAGGCAAGTAGCATCTGAAGCGAACTAATAGGACTAAAAGGGGTAATCCACTTAAATGGAGGTGAGGCAGGCAGTCTGAGAAATGAACCAAATATCCAACAAAAAGCAATAATACAAACTGAGAAGGCCAGCAAGAACCAAAATACAGAATCCCCAACAGAAACAGAATCCCAAAGACAGAAAAATTGTTAGACAAGATCAGATAATCAACATTAACAGGAAAAAAAGCTAGATAAGAAACAAGAAGTCAAAATACTACAAAATACATAAGGGTGCAAAATTGAAGACAATTTAATTGGCCTGGGGAAATTGTTATATGTTGTCTTTAATTTTGCACCCTTATGTATGTGGTGTATGCTTAACACCATATAATCATGGACAAGGAACAAGAATGTGGAGACTGGGAGGTCTAAACAACAAAAACACAAGAGGAAGAACATAACAGGAATAAAAACACGAAAATACTACAAACCAGACCAAAAACTACAACACTAGCGCTGTGTCACATATTTGCATACCTTGGGGCGTAGGTAGAGACAAGAGCGCCCTAGGGCATTCTGGGCATGTATGTCCCTTGGGCACTGCTCCTCCAACACTATTATGCTGCGCTGCCCATTGACTCGGCAAAGCTCAAAGTGTTCAGGCAACGCGGGGATGTTTTCTTGAAGGACTTGAACAAACTCCTGTTCGTCAAGGTCTAAAGGGACGACGACCCGACAGGGAGGAGTAGCATCTGCGTAAAAAAAGATATATTACTCAAAGTTTTAACAACGTAACAAAGTTCTTATTACTAATAACAAGCAAGACAAAATGTCATGAACCACTATGTAAAAGATGGTGAAACAAAAAAACTGGTTATACAACAAATCTGTTTTTGTTTTTTTAACAAAGATCTGTCCACGTAAATTAGCAAACTAATAAAAACAGAGATTACCCCTATGAGACCTGTAACAGGTCAATGTGCTGCTCCTCAGCACAGACACTCTGAAGGTTATTTGTCGTCTTGTGCTACATCTGCGTCTCCGGGCTGGTCCGCCACCCTCCTCTCGTCTGAATGTTTGGAATCTACAGAATAGTTGAAAATACACACGGAAAATATGATGAACTGTAACAACTCACAAACATTAACATTACTTATACTGCAGTCCTTCAAAGGTGTAGGTCTACTGTATTTCCGACTGAATTCTGGCAATGCAGTTAAAATACTAACATTTACTTTAATAAGCTTTGTCAACAGGTTCCTTGTAACTACATTAGGTTCCGCTAGACACAATGTTACGACTCTTTGCACAACCTCCACAATCTTGGGTTGAACAATCATAATAAAAGAAAAACTATTAAGTAAATTCTATGTTCTGCTCTCAGTACATTCTGAATTCTAAGTCTCTACTTTAATTGAAATGGCCTGTGCCAGAAGTAAAATCTGCACATTAATCTAGTCACATTGTATTCTGTCAAATGACAGGTAAGGAGGTTTTACCTAATTTCATTGTCCTACTTGTGCTAATTTGTGCTTTGTCTCAAAGGTGCTTCACGTTGCCGCTTTTAATAATCTTGAAAATCTGAGATTATATGCCTATATGTTTTGTTAAATATATAGTTTGTAGCCTTCGGTACTTTTGCTGAATGGCCGCTTCTGTTAATCTTGTTCATTAAGAGGATAATCAAAAACTTGCACGATTTTTAAATGAGATGGCGTAACATAGTGGCTTATTGTCATGACAACAGAACCGCAGCAATGAAGTCACAGTTCAAGATAAATCAACTGTTTTTACCAGTCAGATTCATCACAAGTCAAAATATTCACCCGAAGTACGAACGTTAACCTAAACAAATAAATTAAATGATGAATATGAATTAACTGACATAGCACTCTAAGGTTATCTTTAATTCCACTGTTTGTGCCGATTGACTATGTAAATAAAATAATGTATGGTAAAGGGACAAAAATATGACAAGTACGAAGAAGATGTAGGACATATTGGAAGTTGAAACAAAGTTTGTAAGACACTGTATCTTCCTCCAGAAGGAGGTCAATGAGACTGCAGCGCCGCCAGCTGGTGTAACCATTAAGTTACCTGTTGTTTTAGGCGCCTTTTGTGAAACACTTTCAATTCAAATGATAAAAGCCCCGGAAATAAGGCCTAACATTAATCATCCCCAAAAGATTTAACGTTGTAGGCTTGAATATCATTTTAGAAAATATGTCTTTTCAAATACTAAATGTCCAGACTTTTACTTTTCTTGTAAAGTAACAGCAAAAGCATTTTAGAAACATGCACTTTATGCACAGGTTATCCTACAATTATAATAATGTTAATTCAACTATTTTTAAATGCTAGCGTTAATATGCAATACTATGGAATGTCTGGTGTAAGTTTAACGTTACCCAGTAACAGTTAACATAGCCTACACTAATATCTATAAAAACGGATTTTTATATACAGTCTATGATAAAAAACAGTTCACCTCTGAAGTAGAGAAGATGCTTCTTGTCCGTCTTCATTCAAAATTCTGTTGAACTGGGCGTTCATTCTGTCTCTGATTTCACTTATTCTTCTTCGAAATCTTCTGCCTCTCTCCGACATGTCTGTTCATCTACCATCTCAAAAGAGCGGACTGAGAATGAAAAGCCGCGGAAAACCGCGAAAACGTCAACAAGTGTGACGCAATTACGTTTGTTTCCTCATTCTTGCTGTCTCATTTTTAAAGCATTTCTCTCTGTGAGAATATGTTAATGGTTAGGATTATTTCCATTTTCAGGCAATATTATTATTATTTCCAATATTATTTAGGCTAGGCCTATGCGCTATAGCCTTGGTCTAACTCTGCTGAGGAACAACCACCTGGTCAAATATCTATGTATTAAAAACCTTTATAATATGATCATATTACTAACTTTTGGAAATATTTATTTAGAAAGTCATACAATAATAGTTATTCTTTAAAAATCTTATGACCACAACTGCAATGTTTAGCCTACGTGGTATGTTCAATGGTCACATGACAACATGGTTGTAAAAGGAAATGTTTGTAACTCCCTTCTGGTACATAGCAGGCAGTACAATTATAGAATGGTAAACAGAAATAAATTAAAAACTGTAGCTTGAGTTTAAAGCTCTTCTGCCGTCTGGTGGTGTGACAGCAGAAACATGTCTATCTTCTATCTAGATGGCAACAGGGTGAACAGGCACAGGCTGTTAACGTCCTTTAAGATATTTTGACCAGCTTACCTGGCTTTTAATATTTATTATATTTATTTATATTTTAATATTTGTAAATTGTGATGTAAAGGAATAACTCACATACACAATTTTGCAAATTTATTCCATCTTTGTTTATTACATATGACAATAAAACGGTGAAATACAGTCTGTGCTTCAAGGGCAGTAGAAGGTGTTTCCAGCTCCCTAAAAAGAAAAAAACACTTCTCACAACATAGGCTATGAGTGAGTTTAGGCTACAGTCTCAAGCATAGCATAGGCTATAAGAAGCTATATTTCAAAAACTCACAGTTCAAAATAATGCCTGTATATAATAGCCCTATATATTTACTAATATTACACTTGCTGTTTACCTATCTCATTCCTCAGAGTGATTAGACTAAGTGTTAGACTTAATGTAGGGTACACATACCTATGGTTTCTCCTGAAACGGAGGTGCAGAAGGATTGCTGTCTTCTCCTTTCCTGTCGGAGAAGTTATTCGCACAATGAGGGTGTGTATTTGCGAATTTGAACTAGCCTTCAGTAGAGTTGGTGCTACAGGTAGTAATGCCATAATAATGACAATATAGCGACAAATAGCCTACCTATGCACATGTTAATTTTTCATTCATTCATTCTTGTCAAAGATACCTGCCGACCTATTTAATAAACCAATCAATGTCAAGTACAGGGAGACGCAGTGGGGAGATGCAGCCCACTTAGATGATGATGACAGAACGCAAGTCTGTCACGTAAAGTCTTTTAGTGTGGTCGCAGAAGGTGTGAAACCAAACCAAAACTAACCGAATGGATCAAAATGTATCAAAACATGAACTTTGGTTCGCACCTTGGTGCTTTGTTGGTTCTGTCCCTAAATTTCTTATGGCTGTGAATAGGGTTGTAAAAAGATAGGCTATATGAATATATCAAATAGGCTATCTAGCCAAACTAGTAGCCTACTTACACTATATCTAAATGTTCTATGTTAAGAAAACGTAAAGATGACATTCATGAAGCTACACCATGTAACTTAATAAAAACATCAGCCCCACAGTTACTGCAGGCGAAACATGAATTACACTGCATTAGGTGGTTTATTTGAAAAGAGTATACATGTGCTGATTAAGGCCATATGTCTATTTCATCAGGTATGTAAAGACATTTTTGGGTTATGTTCAATGTCAGCGGGAGATTTGTACCGCCTCGAGTTGTCATTAACTAGCTTTAGGCCTGACAGCCCTGTGTGTTTTGAAATGTTATCATTTACAGTTAGCAGTAGCTACACTATAATGTATTATCATTGTTAATAACAGATTAAACTTCCAGTGATAGGCTATAATGCCTCATAAATGGTACACTACATATCTATGTATATGTAACATTTTCAATTCAGACCATAACAAAACCAAAAGTCATTAAAACTCATAAGCTTCTTTACTTCATGTTATTATCTATTTTTGTAACAATGATTGTACTTGTCATTTACTCTATCAATGTAATGTCATAATTCTCCTATTATTTATGTCCATATTTGGATAGTGCATTTACTGAAACTGGGAGAAAGTATCCAACAATCCACTTGATCAAAAATATGCATAACAAACTCGTTATGTCAAATATTGGTAAGGAACAACAAGTAGACACAAACACAGTAGTTTTTTGGTTTGTTTGTTTGTTCTTTAAAAAAGGAACTGTGGAAAAGCTCCTCTAAACAGAACAGAAACATCTAAGCACCTGTTGAGTCTTTTCCAGAGCAGCCAGTTGACAATCTGAGGAGTCATCAGTCAGATGGTCACCAAGCTGTATCTGGACACTAAGCCATTCACAAACACCTCAGAAAAAAAAAAAGGGATATTCCCCTTTTTCATAGATAGGCCCATAACCATAATGAGAACAACAGACGTGGTGCTGGTGGTGGTCAAGCTGGAGTCTAATCTGAAGTTACAGGTCAGTTCTTACAAATGGTTAGCTCTCCCTAACAGCCAGAGTACTTTCAGAGTACTTTCATTAGTTTTTATTTCAGTTAAGGGGGAATGGGGATGGTAACAGGGGGAAAAAGCAAGCAAGAAATATTGTGGCATAAGAGTTGGATAAATAAATTAAAGTTTATATTAGTTTGTAAAAAGAAAAAAAAAGTGTGATCACATTGTTTAGGTTTAATTTAACATATGATTCAAAAGGTTTATCACGTTATGTATTGAACAAGTATCTCCATTGGATGTGAAAAGTGTCCATCAAACCATGTATCTTCCACTACAGGATGCACGCACCTCCCTCCCTTTATTTGAGAAAGTGTCTCAAACAACAGAATATTTCTATAGTGTTTTTTTTTTACCTAAGTTACCAAAGGTCTGACTGCTGTGGAAGACATACTTTGTAATCTATTAAAATCCTCTTTCCCCTTTCAAATTCTTCCATCCACATGCATGTAAATGTAATGTTGAGTCGACCAAGTCCTCCAAGGCTTTTACATTACAAATATGTACTCCACTGCAGACAGTAGGGGGCAGCAGAGCGCTGCCTGCTGCCGGTTGGGGACTGTTTTGATGACGTAGCTGTCGTCGTCTTGCCGTTCCGGCAAGATCGTCGAGATCCTCCTGTTTTACAGGTCAGTACGGTGTATAAAAGCACAAAACAGATGAATAAGCATAGCAATCGTTATCTGTTGTGTTTACGTTGTTTTTAGTATGAACTATGCAGTTTGTTGATAGGTTTCTTACACTGTGCTAGACGTTAGCTAGCACTCCCGATCCTCGGTCAATGTCCACCATTAACGTTTACGGCTGCTGGGCGCTGGTTTCACATATGAAGTATTTTATTTGTATTTTGTTTACAAAAAAATGTCACTATCTTGCCAGGATCTTTTATTAAATTGAGGACAGTGAACGGTTCTGTCAGTAAGAACTATGAGAGATTTATCCCTGTTAATATAAAAGGTTTAAATTCCCTTTTTATATATTTAAGTATTATACTTTTTTGTTAATATTTCGAAGGTTTACATTCACTGTAGGCTACGAGAGTTTTAAATTCCCTTTTAATGAGGAAAATGATGAATTGATGCGTGTGCTAGATACATTTTATTCACTTTATGTAATTTGGTTACTTAGTTGAATATTACTGAGTGATGTGCAAAAAGAGACTTCATGTAATGACTAAAATTACTGTATTTATTAAATGAACTCTGGGAAGACCGTCTAGACCAATGGCAGCAAGTTTCCTCAGCCTCATCATTTCTGCTGTTTTACAGGTTTATTACCTTTCCACGTGCCCTGTGCCTGGGGCTTGTAAGGCATATAAGCTGGCTTGCCAACCGGCAATAAAAGAATAGCAGAAACAACAGCAAAAAGCTTTCGCCGTGGAAGATACCGTCGCTAAGGTAAAGTATAGCTTTAAGATTATTGTTTGACAACTTTATCAAGTTTGTACTAGTTCAGAGTCATTCTCATCTGTCATTTTGTAGATTGGCTAACGTAAACTTGTTCTTTACAACTCACTGCTGATGTAGCAAGTATAGGGTTTGAAAGCTTTGTGGTTCAATGTAAAATATGATGGGACAGTTCACTGTGCTTCAAAGATCTATATTTGGTTTCCTCAATCAAAAACAGATGTTTAAGACTTTTGGTTTCGGTTTTATTTCTTCCGTATTTCAGAAAGAATCGGCTGGGGCCCAAAATGTTATAATTAAAAAAAAAGTCTAATATCATTCAGCATCAATAGTTATCATGAAAAAGGTCAAATTCTTATTTCTGTCAAGTTTAAAAGCTGACCTTTGCTTCTGATTTGAAAGTTGAAAAAAAACATATAGTTTATTTTGGTTTTAAACTTTTATTTATGGTCAGTACATGACAAGAGCCTGCAAAACAGTGGTCACTTAACAGATCTCAGGTAGAACGTCAAAAAACAATTATGATAAAAATCTTTTTTCAAAAAATTTCACTGAATGTAGGCATTAAAATAATTCAGGAAAAATGTCTGCACACCATTGGACTGCAGAGATTTGTCCTTTGTGTCCTGCAGTGATATTTTTTGTCTTTCACTTGAGTACTTTTGACTGGATGTGCACACACTTGGCCCCTCTGGAGGTTTTATACCAATGACAACCATACAAACAATTGAAAACATATTGTATAAAACCTTTTCACGCAAATAAATGTAGCTCAGATCAAATCACAGATCACAATAATGTGAGAAGTAGTAAAACCTTTCAACATACTGATGCACACGTAGAAGTGTGTGTAAGATGTAGTTAATGCAGTGAATGCTGAATGTTTTCTAGTTTGCTTGCTATTGTTTAGCACACTTTTTGCACAGACAGACACAACACCACACTAAGACACACTGTGAGGACAACATTTACAGAATTTCTGTTTTTGTTTTCTCTTATTCACAAGGAGAAGGAATTGAGGAGGACTCTTCAACCGATGAGGCTCATCTTGGAAGACGGGGAAATCCAGAGACCTGGAACGTGAAGGTCCAGAAAAGTATGTCCATGCCAGTCTGCAACCTGCTAAAGGTTCACTAAACTCTACTGCAGAAAAGCAGAAGACACATCATAAGAACAAGATTTCTAAGTATTTCTGGGGGAATTTGGACTGGAGAAATGATTGTGAAGTCTGTGGTGGAGGGGAGCACTGTAAAGCGGCGGCGGACAGGAGCAGATGAATCCAGAGGTCAGCATCCATTATTTGTCACCCTGTAGTAGATTGGAGAAGAATCTGAATGTGCCAACGCTTGTTCCTGTCAACATTAGGCATAAAGCAGTGGTGTTTTTTGAAGTGGGAGCCCTCTTGAAAACAGCCTCTGTCAATGTAAGTTTTGTCAAACATTTTCTGTGACTTAAATATATCTCCCTTTCACTTAAAGAAAGACCAGTGTGATGCCTACTGTTCTTTCAAGCCTGGAAACATCGAAGCAGCTTCATGGGACACAAAGCCTGCGAAGCAGAAGGACAAAGACGATGCAGATGAGAAGACCTTGTTGGTGCTCACTCCAATTCCAGGCCATACCGTGTGAGGTACATATCTTCAAGGACTTCTGCCAGATGGGGAACTGGGAAAAAGCTGGGGATCCAACATTGCATGACCTCCAAACAATCAGGTATTTTATCAGACATATACATTCTTGCACAAATATTGCCTTCTATGTCAATAGAAATCAGTTGTGAAAAGTACCCAAGTACATGCGCCCAATTACTCTACTTTTTGAAGTACTACTCCACTACATTTATTTTGATGGCTTTAGTGACTAGTTACTCTGCAGATTATAAATTAAAAACATATTCAAAAACTAGAGTATTTTCACAGATAAAGCCACACAGCAAAATATAAAGTAGTTAGAATTAGCTTTACTTTTCATCTTAAAATTTGAATGTAGGACTTTTGACATACAGAATATCTCTACAGTGTGGTGTTGGAACATTTACCTAAGGTCTGACTACTTTTTCCACCACTGTGAAAGACGTACTTTGTAATCTATTAAAATTCTGTCCCTATTTTCCCTTTTAAATTCTTCCATCCACTAGATACAACGTGGATGGCACCACTCAGATGACTGGGAAGCCTATCTGTCCCCATCTCTTAAAAGAAGAGTATCACCACAGCAGCCCCACTGTGCGCATCCAGCCAGCCAGTTAAAGAGCTGAAGTTCAAACAGCCCCAAGAACTGAAGGTTTTGCCCAAGAACTTCCACTCACCCTACGATGGACTGGACCACGAGTGATGCCCGTCACCAGCTGGAGCCTCACGCAGACGCGCACACACACACACTGATGTACTTAGGCTATATTAGTTACAGTTGTTCATTAAAATGAGCGTAATTATATTTTGCATTATTTTTTAAATACCTTTTACTGGTTTTAATGGTTTTAACATAATTCCTAATTGTTCAAAGTATTAAGTCAAATATCTGGTAGTAGTCAAGACTCCAATCAATTGTCTCTCACAAATAGTCTGACAGATTCTTTATCCTGGTTGTTCATAATAATAATTTTGAATGTTGTGTGGTTTACACAGTAAAATAAATTTCAACCTTTACTGATTAAACCGATTTCATTTTGTCATTATCAGCCAACATTATTCACAATGTAAAGATAGCTTATTGATGATTAACATGATTTCAAAACAAGCATCTTATTATTTAGCTTAGGTATCATCAGAAGGTATGCTTTCACAAAGACTTCAGGTAACCTTTCTCAAATATGTCCATTTCGGAGGAAAGCAATTCAGCGTTTTTTAAAAACCAAGTATCTTAATAGCCTGCAGATGCCTTTTCAGGATCAGAAGGAGCTTTATTGTCAAGTAGTGTTTTACACATACGAGGAATTTGCTGTGGTGATAAGGTGCTACATGTAGACAAACATACAGTCAACATAAATAAATGTGGAAATATATAAATATGGAATAAGATAAGTTTTTGTAGCAACTTGTATAGTGTAGTGTTTTGGGGTAACATAAATATTATCGCAGGAGTCCGGAAGGATAGCTTTGGATAAATAAATAAAAGCCAGGGAATAAATGACAAGTTTTCCCTGAACCGACTGAAACACACGTTTGTGTCAGGTTGCCTTTGGCCTGGATTTAGGATGACATGGTAAAACAAAGCTTTGTAGAAACAAGGGTAGGCTCGCTATCAATACTACACCGACTGAAGGGCTCATAAAAAGACAAATGAGGCTTAAACTGTTCACTGATGACCATGTAAAGATAGTTGTTCCACTTATGGTGATTTCTTACTTTCTTTGTGTTTGTATGTTCTATTTTAGGAGATACTTTAATCTGACAGTGATGATAAATAAAATGCAAATTAATTATTTATGTCAAATTTGATCTAAAATCATCAATCACTAGATGTTACAAGCTATAACCTAGAGTAGCTAAATATTTTTAGTAAATGTAGTCAATTTACTTGATCAGTCTGGGACTTTTGTGTTGAGTTTTTCATGCTTGTCTGTGGTTACTTTATGCCTTTGAGTGGCTACGATCACAGTAAAGTAGATCAGTGCTGAATTAGTGTGGTCTGTTCTTCTTCTGTACTGATTGGGTGACAACAGTTCAAATTTAGTGGCTGTAAAATCCACAGGGCGGAGCTCATTATCATTGTACAAAACGCCGTTTTTTACGCCGTTTGTTTAGTTAACAAAACGGCGTTTTGTTAACTAAACGCCGCTTTTTACGGCGTGCCAAAAGAAAACGGCGTTTTTCGCGGCGTTTTTATACACAAAACGCCGTTTTAAACGCCATTTTGTTAGCAAAACGTGCTACAAGAGTGACGTTTTTTGGCACTAATGGCTTGCCATATCCCAGCCCCGTCCGGGGTCTGGCGGGCGTCGGAGAGTGGGAAAGATTTATATTTGAAAACTACATGTGAGCGGAACACGGTCAGGCATGCTATTAATAACTATTCAGCACTCTGTCCCAGGCATTCCCCTCCTGTGTGAAGGAGAGACCTAACCGCTCCCATCCTGGCAACCGGAAAAGGTGACAAGGCCACGTGGAGCCGGATTCCATCATCGATTCCTTGTTGGTCAACTCTGTAGTTCAAATACGTGTAGTGTAGTGTTTGGCTACCTGCTTCTTTCTCCCCCCCCCCCCCCCTCACTCACATACACAGTGAATGTTATGACCTATGGCTATATGTACGGTAAATTCAAAATGCCGAGAATATAGTGACTTGTAGTTACTTCTGGAGTGCTGTCCTTAGCACCTCTGGTCTGCTGAGCTGAGCCGGTTGGAGGCTCGATGTCGTCGCAGGGCTCCGGGATAGAATTAGAGTGGCTGGCGTGGACCCTGGTGTCCCGTCCCATGACTTTCACTGCGGTTTCGGTGGTTAAAAGCACTTGGAAAGGACCCCGAAAACCAATTGAAGGAAAACCTGTGGCCATTGATGAGTGCATAACTCCCTGGCTCTAAGTGAGGGAGAGTTGCCATGGCTACAAAGGGCAGCTGTGAAGGCAATGTCGCTTGCGCATGTGGTAAAAACAATTTCTTACTTCACCAAAACATTTTGTCATATTTGTTACCATTTTACTGCACCAGCACTCTGTTGCTGATGCCATCACTCAGGAAGGAAAACAGAGATGAATTTCAGTGATTAGGCTTGTTAGGAGAGTTAGGGCTTTGTCCACCGCTCTGGCCTCCTGTTTGTGGAAAACTTTAACATATTTACTTAACATGCTAACCATTACAAGACAGCATTTCATTTATTCACATGGTATTAGTGCAATTCACCATAATATCACGTCTGGACCTGTAGGAAAGACACAGTTTACTACAGCATGAGATTTTGAGTTCGTCCGTAGTTTTGCTTCCACAATCTCTTTGAGATAGCTCTGGCTAGACAGTAGCATGTTCTAAACCGGTCTCACCCTCTCTGAGTGAGTCTTCTTACCTGGAGCTCAAAGTGTCCAATAACACCGCGTCCAAAAACACAGACAGTTTACCCTTCATTTCTGTCTCTGAACAGCTGCTAAGTCTAGCATGAAAGCAGATTCAACCTCATACTTTAACATGTTAGTGTTAACCCCTGTTAATCATCCATCCGCACCGTATAGGCAATATGAATTAAAAGGAAAACACTTAAAAGAACTTTAAGTGACACTTAAATGTCATTGTAATCTGTTAGTTCAGTAATTCAGTCCTTATTCAACCTCCCCCTTTTGCCCAAGTGGTCCCTTGGGACACACATGAGCAACCTTCTGGACCATATTTTGAAAGGGTTAAACAATAACATTCAACAACATGGAATGAGCTGGCAGCATCCGTTCTGGCTTCTCCTGTGGGAATCTGCTAGTGTGCATTTTATCATTAAACGGCAGCAAATGTGTGCAGACACACAAACATCCAGTTCAGTATAAAATAAGCAACAAAACAATAAGCAACAGGACAACAAAGCACCAGGCATCTGGTTCCCACCCCAAGATGTAGTGTCAGAACAGGTCAGGTACCTGTCTTCTGGTCAACCACCAAAGTGAGAACGCAGGTCAAAGGTCAGGCCTTTGTAGTCCCTGAGTATGGCGGACTGTAGAGAGCCTTTTCAGTCAGTGAGGCTCTGTCATCTCAGTTTCGTCAGTTTCAAGTCGGTCAAGTGCACTGTTTTTCACCATGAATCATGGGAGAGAGATTCATCTCTCTTTTAACCTTTGTCAGTAATTAGGATCCTTTGTCTACAAAATCGTCATCACCTCTTTATGGTGATTGGTTTTGGAATAGATGGAAAAGGCTTGTACGCTGTAGGAGGGAGAGACATACTCTCACTGTGATCACATGTCCCAGGTTTATCCTGTCTGTTCCAATTGCAGTTGAGACAGACTAGCCTTTTGTCCGGCCATTGAAAACTAACCGCTTTAGCTAACGATGGTCATCTCAACATGCTTCTTGTGATGGACTGCAGAATGAAACCGACCAGTTTCGTGGTTAATGTAAAATTTTTAACCAGGCCTTTGCCAAATCACCAACAGAGAAATGTGTGACATTTGATGTAATCAATAACAGGTTTGTGTGAAAATTTGAGACCTAGTGCTCGTGGATGCACTGCACCATTTACTGCTAGTTGGTCTATAACACTCTACCACTCTGTTGGTTGGCCTTCACCACAGTTTTCCCTTTGATGGAAAGTTGTGGGAGTGGGCAGGCGAGTCATCACAGGGGATAGCGACTCCAGCCTACAAAAGTGAATTCAAAATATAACCCAGGCTTTTGAATCACTAACAAACAAACATGTTTAAAACATTCAAGTGCTTCTTGTTTAGGAGATATCATTTTAGAATCTTCAACTCATTCAAATCAAATTAGACTTTGTGAAACCTATAGCTATAAACTGTCATTTAGTTAGCACGTCAGACATGAGGTCATGTTGAATGTCTACCCATGGTGTATGGAAAAGATCTTATTGGAACCGGTACTCAGAACCTCAGCAATGCGTGCCAAAACAGGCACCACCCTTGCTGTCCCAGTTCTTGGGCCCAACCACTGGCCACTTGTTAGTCAGCCGACTCCGGGTAAGAATCCCATCTCCTCCCTTTCTTCCAGCTCCAAATCACTTGATTTACTCATGTCACTATACCCTCTGAAGCAGCTCAACTTAGAAAAAGAGACAGAAACAACACAACAGCAGCAGCTCTATGCGTCCAGATAATATTTTGCAATAAATAGAAAAATAGACCATTTTCTCTGTCTATCTCTCTTTAACTGCCCCTAAATTATTTTTCCATAATTTATCTATAATCTCATGTGTCCACCTGAACTGTGTAGACTACTGTGCAGTGGAATGCATTCGAAAGTCTGTGTGCATGTGTGTGTTTCCCTTAGAGGTCACCCTCTCTCCCCATTCCCAGTGCTCTGATTACCGAAATGATTGTTTTGTCATGTTTCACAAACAATGTAGCAATGATGTCACCTGCAAGGTTTGACCTAATTACAGTTACTCTGATAATTTCCCAACCCCTTTGTGCTCAGTATTCATTGCAAACATAGGATGTTCAAGTTTAGTATTACTTACTAAGATCTTAATATGGTATTCATTATAGTTTCAATGTGTTTGAGATTTTTACTTTATCTGTGAGACGTTGTAACTCACCCAGTGTGTGTTTGGCTGGATCCTGTCACTTGGGTCCGTCCCTCCCCCTTCAGCTCAGTCCATTTGTTTTCTTTTATTTTTCTTGCCAGTCTGTTTTAGAAATTGTGCAACATCTCTTTTCCAATGTGCACTTTTTCCCTTTACTTTGCCCCCTTCCTCTGTACTGTCCGTTTCTTCGTACCAGGATGGCTTGATACAGCACCAATCATTTTCTTTTGACAGTTATTTTCGTGTTGATCTTCTCTATGTTACTCCAGCAGCAGTTTCTGGACTAATCAAACTAAGAACTTTCAGGGTCTCATTGCATCTCTTTTCAGACCACTGTAGTCCTAAGGTGATGGTCATGCGGACTAGGAGAGTCCTACATGATTCGGTCTGGTCTTGCTGTTCAGCTGCTGGCCTGCATCATGCATGATCTTGAGGAAGTCCGGCTTGATCTGATATATATATATTTTTTTCATCACTGTGT